CTTCTCAGCTCAAGCTCAAAAAAAAAGGAAAGGAAAAGGAAAAAAGCCACCCTCTGGGGAATTTGCATACTAGTCAGACTTGGGTGAGCTGCAGTGGGTGGTTCGGGCTGAGCGTCAGCTCTATTCTTAGATGTCTGTGCTGAGGCAGAGTCGGGCGGAAATTGTTCACTGCTGCTGTAGGACCTTATAGTCATTTCTTTTAATGGGGTTCAACTGTCAAATCAAATTTCTCAAACCTGTGCAAAAGGCTCTTATAATTAGACGTGTCATCTCTTCTTTTCATGGCAAAACTCAAAACTGGGCTGTTTCTGTCAGTGAAGTACTGAAATGGTAGTCTTCTTTCATTAAGAGGATTGCTTTCTTTTTAGAGGGAGGGCTGGGGGATTTTTTTTTTTTCACCATTTCTCTTCCCTACTCCTTTTGTTAACAAAAGTGTGTGACAAGTCAACACTTTTCTTCAAGGTAAAATAGGTGCCTTTTTTTCTTTGAGTAATAACACCATGTGCCTGACTTTCTGGTTGCGCGGCTCTTAAATACAATCCAATCGACATTAGAGATTAATTCATTCAATGACAAGCCAAGAGTCTTTGGTGCCTATTCAAACATATTTTCTACTTGAATAAATTCATAGCTTGAAAAGCCAAAAGACAAGGAGGTTGCCAGTAAGAAGCCTTTCTTACTAGTGTTTGGAACTCAATCTTTAAGATCATTTTAAAAATATTTATCAGAATATATATGTTAAGTTTTACAAAATAGATTTCTTTTTAAGTTTTAGTATAAGATTCTACACAAAAGGTTTCAGGGCAGCCTGTAGACTAACAATGTTTTGTGTTTATTATCTAAAGCTCTGCTTCAGAATTAGTGAGATATATGTAAAGATTATATTTAGGATGAGAATTCTCGCAAACAGTATTATTTTTGAGACCCTTTGACTCTTAGTCTTTTAAACCCTGGACTATATAAGCAAGAATCATACTTAAAGAAAGCAAATATAAGTGGTCACTAAATGATTCTAAATCAGTGCTAACCCATGATTTTGTTGTTTAACATTGTAACATATTGACATGATGGAGTTAAAATAAGAGAAATGGTCGTTACACAAGGACAATTATTTTATAAATGAATGATATTAAATGTGAATTTTCCCAGACCTGGAAGGAAACTCAGGGAAAGTATAAAACTACCTTCAAAGATAACCCAATGAGGAATAAATGTGATTGATGTTTGGACCTTGGGAAAATAAATATGAAGGTCAAGTGTACATGAGATAGATATGATATTTTTATTTTGTTTTTCTACCTCGATATATACAGTTGCACTAAGAGTATTTTTCTTAAAGATCATAGTTCTTTTTCAAAAAGATATTCTCTCTAGAATTTTCTTAATGTGTACGTAAATGGAAGCATACAGCTTCAGATGGAAATTGTCTTTAGTAATGTGAAGACTAAGAAAAATGCGAGAAATGTGCTAAACCAATTAATTCCCTGAACTCTCAGATTTCATACACTAATAAAAGTCTGTCATTATAAAAAGTGGGAAGCATAATGCTCATAAGACATAGCCTTTAATCAAAAAAAAAAAAAAAAAAAATACAAGATATATACTGGTTGTTAAAAAACTATATTCCTTTTACATTTCCATTGCATATAGCATAAAAAAAGCGAGCCCTTAGGCCAAATAGCAATCCTAAGCTAAATATTGACAATATTACCACTTGGCAGCCAACGTTGTCATTTACAAAATCAGCCAAATTGTGTCTTCTTTTATAAGATGCATATAAAAGCTCATCTGATTAATCCCATACACTGCTGGTGTTACTGCTATTTGGTATATTTTTAAGAATTGCTTCCGGAGCATCCAGCTTTCATTATTATGCAAATTAGTTAAAATAAAGTTCAAAATAACTGTACTGTTACTCTCTCAAAAAGCAGAATAGAAATCAAAAGATGGAGGTTAATCTGACCAATCCTGAGACGAGAAGTTGAATACTAAATTTTAAATAGATTTGGGGGGGGCATAAATGAAACGACTGAAATCTGCTGTACGTCAAAGCATTATATCTGTAAAGGAACAACATAAGATCACCAGCTCTGACGATGGATGTTAACTGACATGTTGTGTGTTTCAATGAAGATACTGTTTCATTATACCAAGATGTTTCATTTAATGAAAATTAAAGTTCCAGGATGCTTTATGGAAACAAATTCTGTGCAGCAACGCAGCACTCTTGGCTATGCTGGAAACTAATAATTCACCCAACTTAAATAAAGAATTTATGCAGGTGAAGAACATCTAGATCTAGCCATCACCAGAGAGTTGACAAACAAGTCCTTACTGTCCACTAGGCTAGGTCCTGATCTCCCAGAAAGGAGCTTCTCTAAGAATGGCAAATGACGTCGTGGGATTTTGGCCGTGTGGCCTCTGCCTCGATGGCCAGGAATGGGCTGAAGATGGCCTTTTCTTAGGGTTGAGGCCACGGAAGGCCACCGGAGATGCATGGCACACTCCAGCTCTTGGGGACTGGAGTCCATTCCCACCATGCAGAGGCAGCATCATCTACTGGACAGGACATTCATAGTGGAGGGACAAACGTGGTAAGCCCAGACAAGTTCCTTAGGATTCCTCTTCATTTCCTCCTTGCACTATGCGCAAAGGCACCCAACAAATGTTACACCCTGGAACCCTTCACCCCTTTACTCTTCGTAGAGATGTACATGCCCAGTTAGTGAAGCAACTATGTGGTAAGTTCCCAATAGTTCTGACTTGCCTGTTCAGCACAGCCTGTGCTTTGCTTCCCTTCATTTTAAATCATTCATGAGGAGAGAACAATCTAGGTTAATCCAAAATTAACACGGGTGCCCAACATTGTTCTCTTCCTGGCTGAGCCAATTACTCCCACACGTACTACATTTTCTGCTGAATATACAACTTCAAACTCTCTATCAAGGTTTTTCCCTAAGTATGGCAAAATTAAATATCATGAGCCATGCCTAGGTTAAAATTCTGATTTAGATATTTGGGGGACCACATTTCTAGTACTCTTTAATTGCTTGAACACCTAATAGAATTAGAAAAGAGGAAAAAATATATATATATACATATATATATATATATATCTCAGATTTTAATTCTATTTTACTCAACAACTCTAAGTGTAAATAAACTAAGAAAAATGTCTCCTCGGTTTCATTTATTCCTAACTGGCAATTTATAGTAATAAATGCTAATCTGGGAGGCTGATTTGATTATTCTAATCACCAGAAAACCTAGGGAATTTTTTAAAATTTGAATTTAATTAAAAGAATGGAAAGCTGGGGGGAAAACAGTGAATTCATAACACCACCAAGCACATTTTTCTGCAATAAATGCATGGCTTTTAATATTAGTAACTATATAAATGCCTTCCATGGTTCATAGAATCTCTGTTACCGCTCCACCAACACCACCCAGCTCCTGAGCTATTTTATATCTGCTACAACACATGGGTAATAATTTGGACATTCCCCTTCTGTTATTCTTATCTAAAAGTTGCTTGGTGGTTGAAGTGTTTACAGGTTTCTTGTATGCTGTGCTTTCAAGCATGAAGAATTCAAATTTATTTCACCATAGAAACAAGAACCCAAAATGCAAAAAAGAGATCATAAACATCAATTGAACCCAACAGGTATAATATTTGCCACTCAGTGTTACCATTTCTTCTTCCCCAATTATTACCCACTGATAACATCTGAGGTGTGGGACAGACAACAGGCAACTCAGAAGATACTTGGAGAGCATTCTTCCCCCTTTTTTATTTAACCATGTGTAATGTAACCTGTAACAATGGAACCAGGTTCATCTGCACCCACCGCATTGCTAATGTCCCTTTGAGAATTAGTTCCACTACATTGGCCTTCTCAAATATCATAGGAAATTATGTCAGAGTTTTCTGAAGTATGAAATTGTTATTTATTACTCTGGGTAATGACCACTCAATCCACTGCCTTCAAAAACGTGGTTATTTAACCGATTCAAGCATGAGAAGTCTTTGTAGTGGCTAGGGACATTTTGTGTGTGTGCTTTATATTTGAGATTTGATTTCTAATCTCCAATTGGAAAACACGTAAATGTCTACCGAGAGTTGCAAGAGACAACTGCTTCTTTTCTCAGGTGCAAGGACTGATGTGCATGCCTGGCCATTTCCTAACAGTCACTGCTTCCACCCATCCCCCAAGCCCTCCTCCACCTGCAGCATGGACGGAACCTGAGCACCCTGATGGTCACTATTTGAGCTCTGCAGGGGAAGTCAAGAGATGGATGTGGCATCTCATTTGCAGGCACATTCCTCTGCTTCTTCATATAAAATGTCACCAGGCATATGCACAAACTACTAAATAGTTTAGAAGTCATAACATCCATGCCCTCTTGTAGGTGAAACAAGGGAGGTCTGGAGAGGTTAGAAGTGACTTAAAAGTCACATAAGTCATTAGTGGCAAAACCAGGACAGTCACCGTAAAGGCCGCCTCCATGCTTGCTTTCTCATTGTCTGCCTCCCAGCACTCCTGTCACCTTTCCTGGCTCTATGATGAATATGATAAAAATAAATACCCAGAGACAAGGGGGGCTGAATAGAATGATCGTCAGTGGTTTCACGATTTACATCCATAGCATGTTTCTGTAAGATCCTATCATTATTTTCTTCTCATCCTTTAAGATCGATTTTATTGCCTTTTCATGAATTTTATTCAAAATCTTTGTTGTTTTTAAGTAAATTAATTACGCCCCATTAAATTATAGGGTACATATCCGTAAGTTTTCAGTTTAGCTTCTGAGATCATTTACTGACACTGATCCAGCTATTTTTTTTAAACAGATAATGTTCACAAAAATTTGAGGATCCTGCTTTATATTTCTATCCAAATATATTCAGGAAAATGCTCAATACAGTGGTCTGTTCTCTAATAAGGTAGTTACCGAGGAGGGCAAAGGGGTCGTAAAAGAAAACCAACAGTCTTTATCTCTTCTTTTTAATTGTTTAACTTTATTACTGTTGCACCATTTATACAATTACATATAATTTCAATGCATCCATTGTACTTTTTTTTGTTTTTTTTATTTGTTTTTTTTTTTTTTCCATTTTCCAATGAGTGGTGTGTTGGTGTCTGTGACACAGAATGGAAGAGAAACTGGAACTGCAATGAACGCAGACTTTTTTTTTTTTTTTAATCATTTCCACTGACCAATAAACAGAACTACAGGTGCACCCAACCACGGACATGCATTAACTCGTCATGAGAAATCTAGGTAGGCTAAGTAGGATGAGAGAATGTTTGTTACTCCCAAAAATATCTGGAGAGGAAGAATGGAGGCTTGGCATCGAGATACATGTGGACAAGCTAAGTGGGCTCTGTCTGAAAGTTGGCATTCATCCACGACATTAAAAAAATATCAAAATAAGAAAGGCTGTAAATTAAAAAGGAAAAACACAGAAAATACTGCTTTCATAAAGATCTGATTGCCTTGGCACAGGCCCCGTGGGCAGAATCAAGCGCATCCCTCCCAGCTGCCCTGGTGGAAGGAAAGCCACTCGGATCTCAGCGGTGGAGTGCGAGAACCAGCAGCCAGCTCGGGTCCAGACGGCGTACTGCACTTTCAGACATGGATCTCTAGAATCCAGGACTTCTTGGTAAAGTTGACTGAAGGTATATTAGATATTTCCCCACAAAAATACTATTTGGATTCTCCCCACCCCCTCCCTCCCTTGATGGGACACATCCTTTTTTTTTTTCCTTGGGCAATACGTATCATTACTTCCAATTGGAAACAAGTTAGTATAGGACAGAGAGAGGAGAGAGACAGAGAGAGAGGAGAGAGAGAAAGGAGAGAAAGAGATAGGGGGTTTTTTGTTGGTTGTTTTTTTTTTTTTCTTATTTTTTTAAGTGGTATTATTCTTTTCCATAGGCTGTCCTTGTCACTCTTTCACTGCTACGGTTTGATCAGAATTAGCTGCCGGGGCCTCGCCGGCCTTGAGCTCTTCTGCGGGGGGTGCAGGGGCCTGGGCCTTGGGGGTAGAACTAGGCGCCTCCGTGGCCGCGGGCGCCTCCTTGCTGGAGGCGGCGGCCTCCGTGCTGCTAGGTTTTGAGTCTGAGGCCTGGGCCCCGTCACTTTTCGTCTCCTGGGCGGCAGGGGCTGCGGGAGCCTCAGTCTTTTTGGGGTCCCCTTCCTCCTTGGCCGGGCCGTCCCCGGCGGCGGCGCGGCGGCGCCCGTCTCGGCGGGCCGCGGCGCCTCGGCAGCTCTGGGGCCTCGCCGGCCCGCAGCGGGGCCGGAGGCCGCGGGCTCCTGCTCGGCCGCCTTGGCGGGCTCGGCCTTGGCCTCGGCCGCGCCGCCCTCCGCCTTCTCGGGCTCCGCCTTCGGGGCCTCCGCCGCCGCCGAGGCGTCCTTGGCGCCCTCCTGCTCTTCCGCCTTGCCCTCGCCGTCCTGGGCGCCCTTCTCCGCCTTCTCCTTGGCCTCGGCCGGCTCGGCGGCCGCCTGGGGCTCGCCCTCCTTCGGGGTCCCCTCCTCTTCGGTCCCCGCGCCCTCAGCCTTCTTGTCCTTGTCCTTGGCCTTCTCGTCGTTCACATTGTAGCCCTTCTTCTTCTTGCTGAGCTTGCCTCCCATCGTGGAGATCTGGAACCAAACACAAAACAAGACAGAGAAGGGAGTCAGGCGGCAGTGAAGACAGGAGGCTGCAGTTTCCAGGGTGAGGGGGCCAGCGCCCTGCTGGGCCCCCAGCACGGGGGACAGGGTGACTCTTACTTATTATATATAATTACATTATTACATAATACGATTGTCACACGATTGAATACAGAAATCAAGAACGGATCAAGAAAAATTCAGGAGCTCAGTGGAGTGGATTTTACCGCAATTAAAAAGCATTAAAAAACAGCAACAACAATGTATCAACAAAAGAGATTAAGGAGCTCAGTTGTGGAGCTTTGAATCGCAGCAAGTTGAGGGAATAATAAGCTGAGATCAAAGAATCTGTGATTAGAGACAAAGCTAGTCCATGGCAGAGAGGTGGAGCACCATTTGCTTCCTATCTGCCTTCCCAGGTCTGCCTCACACACCCAGTGTCGACACTTGTGGCAAGATGGCCGTGACAGCCATCTTAGATCTGTGCTAGAGCTAGTCTTAACCCTAAAATACTTCCTGGAGAAATTACACAGCTATAATAAGGCACGGATCACAAATTTCTCGAAAAAAATCCAAACTACGAACTCTTTTTAAGCTCCACTATTCATCTATCAGTTTCATATAAGCAAACACATCAAAGACAAGGCAAGCGGGGTTCAGTCTGTCTTGTTATCCAGCAGGAGCAGTTATATAAAGTATAGTGTCTCTGGCTATTTTTAGATCACTAGTTGTGTCTGACTTGATATTCATGGCCTTTCAAGGTATTTCTTAGCTTGGAAAAAAAGTTCCATAGTAATATAAAATTGTTCTTCATTATCAATTTCCCGATTAGAATTCAAAGCACACGTGCAAGCTCAGCGGCCATTAACAACCTTTTTCCACTCAAAAGTTAAGTTTCCAACTGTCTTGAGGCTGCGAGTTTGAAGGAGTAAGGAGCTCTGATTGTATGTGAATCCTGAATTTTTCTCCTCTGGTACCAAAGCATTCACCCAGATAAATAATAAATTGTAAATGTATAAATAATAAATTTCATCCAGAACCAGGCCAGAGCTAAGCAGACTCTGCTTCTCCTTCTTTTTTTTTTTTTTTTTAATCTTCCTGTGCATTTTTAGGGCATCACATATCAATGAGAACCCATGGAAATGTTGCTCTTGTGAGGAAAATCAGTTACTTTTTCCCAATGAGGCAAGGCAGAAATCACATTCCACTACCTCCTTTAGTCCCCACAAATAAGAGAAGTCCAGAAGAGGGAGAGAGTCTTGCCTGGACCCCAGGTTAGAAAGTGCAGTGGAGACCACCTGGTTCTGACCAGGGCAGGGTCCTCTGCAGAATTCTAAAGCACTCCTTGACCAGCCTTTTTGTTTTTTGTTCTTTTTAAAATAGCATCCATTTAGAACAGAAAATTTGCTATTTATTCATTACACTCCTTGGAATCAGGATTCATGATAGTGAAATAACCTACATTTATCTTATTTAAAAGTCAGGTGTTGGGTAGGGGAGAACTATTCTTCAGTCAAAATTCTGTCCACTCTATACTACTAATTTCCTGTCTGGAGTAACTTGAATAGTCAGTGGAGGAAAAAAGCAATAAACTGAAAGATGACTAACATACTATTCCTATTCTCAAGGCAAGTCTTTATTATGTTATCAGAGAAAGAATTTTTTTATATGTCTTTTTGAAAAAAGGAATGGCGTTTGGTCAACACTCACTTCGGACTTCTGACGGATTCTATTTGACTTAACTCTTATTTCTCCCTCTAAAGTAAGAACAAACATATACTTGTAGAGCAAAAATAAGTATATTTTTATCCTATAAGCAATTACAAAGCAATAAATGAAAATATGAAGAAGTAAACTGGACGAGTATTTTAAATTGTAGTTTATAACTCACTGAATTCTTAGTCAGTATGCATGAATATTCTGCATCAAATATCTGATATTTGAAGATACATTTGGGTACATTTGGTTAGGCTAAATAAGAAATAGGAAACCTGACAGGTTGGTCTGCCCTTAGGACAGTCTCTCAATTCAATAATAGAAACCCATATACAAGCTTAGAAATTACAGATGGCAAGACAAAGTGTAAATGCAGTGGACTTTTTGTAGACATAACATAGGGGTGCCGCTTTCTGACACCCACACCATGAAATTCTATACAGCAATCCCCAGGGGTTTAAAGTCATGTTGGTTTGCAAACCTAAAATCTGAGTTACTAAAATTGGTTTTCGGAAACACAGTTAAGGCTACATTCTATTCTTTGTTTTAAACCCAGCTGCCATTCATTTCGGGGTCAAAAATGAACACACATAAATCAAGTTGTAAGGAAGAAAGTATGTTTGTTTTTCGAATGCACAGTTAACAAATACACCCTGAATTTTGCTAATTTACCTGTGTTAGTTATAGTGAGGTACCAGAAGGAGACTTCTAGAATCTACTAGAAGCCTGAAAAAGCAGAATCACCTGGCTATTTCCCAAGACAATATGGGTGAAGACATTGCCGACACCCAGGGGTAAATTAAAATGACAATTTAAAATCCAATAACTGTTTCCTAGGTGTTGGCCACAATCCTAATCCCAGACATATTACAGAAATTATTTCATCTTCTCAACAGTACCATGTAGTAGTATACCATTAACATTCTCCTTTTACTCATAAAGAAACCAGCTGAGTTCATGGAGCTGTATGATAAGCAGGTCAAGTCCAACAAAATTCAGGATGGCAGGAAGGCACCATCTAGGAGGTGCAAGGAACTGGCAGGAGGGCAGACGTCTCAGCCCAGGAATGTTACCCACTCTGGGTTATTAAGGTTGGTGCCACCTGTGCTGGCCCAGAACTCAAGATATTGAGACGATAAGGAAGAAATTCAGCCTTTCAGGTACTCTAGGCCTCTAAGCTTTTCATCCTCCTATTGGCCAGAGGTACTTTGTTATCAAGAGTAAACAATGGACATACAATTTAATGATTTCGCTCATTTCTATTACTTCTAATTTTGAAAGAAATCATTGGGTGTAGAAAGTTAGAAATTGGAACTTCTAAGTTAAGGGGAGGAGAAAGCAGTTTAAAAAAATTACAGCAACAGGAAATCCACTCTGGAAATTATTTAAACCTTAAGCAAAGCTACCCTGAAAGAGCATTTTTCCACATTTAGGATACTCACTAGCCAGTAAGTAGCCCAGCAGGAAAACTCAAACCAAGGCTGAATGCACTGACCTAAGCTCCATGTGTTTATAGACTAACCAAATGCTGAAGCTGATCTCTTCGTTATGACATCTCAAAGGAAAGCAAATTCAGGAGCTGTCCTTCAAAATTTTAAGAAAATCCTACGTCACAAGTGCCAAAACTATAGACTTATGTATTGAAATTGGCATAGAAAATAACTACCCATAAGCAGAGAGGAATTTTACTGAATTTAATCTTGCAAATACTGGACAAGAATTATTTCAAGAAGACTTCGGATGTTGGGTCATAGTAGGCCCGTAAGATGCTGATATAGGTCCCACCTCCACAGCACACCCACCCTGAATCCTTGAGCGAGTTTTTAACTGCATTGTCCCACCATTTCCTGTAAAATAAAAAATGTCAATCTCATAGGAATTTAACTTGAAGCATCAGTACAACGTTTGACATTTCACAGGCCTGCAATAAATGTTAGTTCCTTTTCTCATCACTTAATTTTTACAATTCTTTGATAACTCTTTGCTTACAAACTCAAGCAAAAACAGGTTCCACACATACAAGTTCTAGAAACAGGCATCAGAAGCCCTGTAACTAAAAGAAAATTTTAAAAATAAAAAACTTCTAAATATGTCATCAAAGAGATGTTTGGTATGTGTGTTCCAAGCATGCTCCTGATGGCTCTACATATGGGGAAAAGAAGAAGTTCACACAGTCACCTGTTGCCACTGTATTGTCATCATCCTGCTAATAGTAAAACTGATTTACTTCTTTGATTTAAATATTTTATGTACTTAAGATTCTTAAGAGCTTATGAGTCTTTTTTTAAAACATATTAACAGTCTATTCTACCAAGAAATATTCTAGACAGAGATAAAAGTTAAAAATTAGTCAAATTCATTCCTCCCCATTTATACTAGTCCTGGAGTGAGTAGGCTGACAAAGACCATTTTGTCTGTTACTAGACCTCACCACCTCTTTACCATTTGATCAAGAAAACAAGAAAAAACTCCATGTCTGTCACCAAGATGGAAAAAGAATGCAAATTCTTAAAATGAGTTAAAACTCATTTATTGCACCAAATTTTATATGTAAAGGGTAAAAAACCTGATCTACACTTTATTTGGGTAACAAAGCTAAACAGAAACTATTTATGAGGAAAGCTAACATTGTCATATGCCCTTTTTTGGCCACTCCATAAATAAATTTCTTTCTTTTATAAAAATGTCAAATAGTTTAATATTTTTAAGGTACTAACTTACACATTTGGAAGTTCCCACAAATGTCTCATGACAAATTCTATACTCACCCCTCCCCATCTCATAAAACCAAGCCTCTATCGAATTAATGTAAACAGATATTCCAGAAGAAATGTGTTAGAGTTCTGCTTTTTGGTGAAGAGGAGAGAAAGTATCATTCTAGTGCTGTTACTTGATCAAAGCAACCTGGGCTGGGAGCAGGAAGATCAGAGGGAGGCCTTAAAGGTTGGAGGGAGGATCGATGGCAATTATTGATCACACCAGCCCTGTTCTTTCCTACCCACACCTATCAAGGAGCTGAGAGTTTGAACGCGTGTTACACACACCTACCATCTCCTGTGAAGGACTTCATACAATTGTTGTGAGCTTAGACTACACACTAATTTCCCACACAAACTTTTCTTTATTTATTGGCAGCAAATTATTTTTCCTAATAAATGAGTGTGCATTTATGAACTTTCATGACACTATTTTTTGTCCTCAGAAACAACAGCATAAAGTAAAAAAATGGCCTAAAAGGTTAGATTTCACTCTTCCTTCAAAGCAAATATTAGAAGGATTCTGTTGAGTCCTACAGCTGAGAAGTATTCCTTTTCTTACAAAAGAAAATTCTGGTATAAGCTAATGTTCAACTTTATAGGAAAAAAAAATTGTGACCCTATGCATTGCCACTATAGTAAACCTTTAATAAAGCAAATTCGTTCTTACTATTGAGAGTTTAAATTTTATATGAAAATTTCTTTGGGAGATGGAAGGCAAGAAATTCATTTGAAATGCTATGTTATAATCAAGACCCTCCTTAATAGACAGAGACAATCTCCTCTACAAAGTTTCCCAATTGTTTGTTCCTCTCAGACCAGGAAGCCTGGCAGGGATCACAGAAGATGTTCCTTATCTATTCAAATCATCTAGGTTAAAGCAATTTTGTACACACGATCCAAAGGACACACTGGGCCAAAATCACCTCTGAACAAGCTTAAAGACTCACAGAATTTCATTAAACAACCACTCAGCTACCAGAACTTACCTAATATGCACCTATATTTTTTCTTAACTTTAAAATAAACTACTCTATCAGCACAGCTTACTGAATTAAAATTTAGTCTTTCCCCATTGGTGAAAATAAAGAAGGGCGGATGACAAAATGCCATATAGGAAAAAATTAAGTAACCGATGAAATCTTTTCTTTAAGACTTGTATCATAAACAAGCATCTAGTACTGAGTATGAAGTTTGCTAAAAATGGCAAGAATGCTTGGGGTTGGGCTCTGGTCAACAACTTGCCATGAGACTCTGAGTAAGTCCTTGGGGAGGGGGAGGGGGCAGCAGGGCGGGAAATAATTTTAAGAATGCTTATGGCACTAAATGAAATGCTATGCATGAGAAAAAATGTGCTATTATCTCAAACTCCTGGCCTCAAGCAATCCTCCCACCTTGGCCTCCCAAATCCTGGGATGACAGGTGTGAGCCACTGCCTAAAAATGTGGTATTATTGATAAAGTTCTATCTCTACTCCTACTAATTACTACTCTTCCTCCTACTAATTACATAGTTGATAGGTTACTATGATTGAATGTCTTTGTCCATGATTTCAACACGTGAAGCTTGTTAAATATTAGAAATAAAATTTTTTTTAATTAAAAGTTTGTAAAACAACATCCAAATATTTATCAAAGAATATTTTAATGTTTTCAGTTCTATTTAGGAAATATTTTCAGAATAATGTGTCAGCTCTGTAAGTCATGAGTCAGGAAGGAGCTACCCACCAAAGAGATCTCAGATAGAGTCATAAATGTCAGAAAAAATAGGTGTCATTAGCTTCTCTTACGCAGAACTATTTCACAGTGGAGTGGTTGTGAAAGACACTCAGTTGTTTCTCCTTTATCTTTGACGGGTCATCTTCCGACCATTCACGGTCCTGCCTGGCAAGATCGGGGCCTTGTTTGCCCAATTTCTTTGAGCAAAGGTGCTCCCTAAAAACAACCAAACCATCTTTCCCTTTTACGCAATGCTTGGCAATATCAACCTACGCATATTTTAAAATTATCATTTCAAATACAGTTTAAGTCAGTCCAAGAGGAGCTAATCACAATTCTCCCAAACTAACATGACATTCTGTTTAGTGTTATGTAGAAACAAGAAAAAGTGGGAAAAGTTCTCCAGCCCAAATTTCTAGAACAATATAGCCATCTAACACTCTAAAGAAAAAAAGTCAGTGACTTCTACCTTAAATAGAAAAACAGCAACATAAAACAATTACCAAGCTTGGAAAGCTAAAATAAAACAATTTCCTTTTCCCACTCTGTATCATGTAGGAGTCATTTAAATATATAAATTCAGTATTTAGTAGTCTAAGACTAATTAAGGAATCTGTTTTTCTGTCTACAAAATCCACTTATAAAACATGAGCAAACTTGTATGAATATAGAAATTATTTTCCTGCTACCATCCTTTCCAATACTTCTTCCAGAATTATTTGATACAGTGGACAGTGCTTGCAAATCCTTAGGAACACAAGCTCAATAATGCAAATGAACAGAGGACTTCTCTTTTTCCTAAATCGAAATTGTGCTATTTCATAGGACACTAATACTGAAAGCTAAGTCACGTGTGACCTTCCAACATAGCATTTTCTGTCCGCCCGAAACCTGCTTTCACTCATTTGCTACCAACGAGTAACACCAACTAAGGAGTAAGCTACATTCACTGCTTCTTCCATAAACACTAAAATTCTCAATATCCTAACCACAGAATGTATGCCCCCAAGAGTTTGCAAAAGATATTTAAAATATGCAGAGAAATTTTGTTTATGCCTAGGTTGATCTTATCAGGGAAGAAATGATAAAGTATCTTGAATTTTATGAAGAAAGTAGATCGGAGACAGAATAAATGTTAAGATTGTCCAATGCTACAAAAAAAACGGTTTAAGTTTTGCCAAATTTGAAGGTTTTAGCTGTTGACTCATTCCTTTTCCTTTCTTCAGCAATTCTTAAGGGTTTAACACATAAATACTCTTATTCCCAATCAATTACAGCACTTATTTTGGGAGGAATCATTTTTTATTTTGTTTTTAATTGAACCCAGAAATATGGAACATTTCTTCTATGGAAAAAAAACTGTTCAATCTGTTTATAAAGGTCCATACTTTTTCATGGATTCT